ATATCTATTTTTTAAAAGTCAGATTGGTAAAAAATATATTTTTTTGGTATGCCACAGAATTTTAGGGATTATTGTATATGTGCCATGAGATGAAAAAAGTTGAAAATCACTGGAATAGAGTATTGGGCCTTCGCTTGAGATGACTATAAAAACTAATATAAACAGTCACTTTACGTGTGAGTCAGAACTGCTTGCGCAGGGGGAGTTCCTTTGTATGTCTTATCCCTCAAACTCCTGAAATGTTAAAACTGTCAAAATAACCTTTGGACTAAAGAAACGTTGTATCCCAATCAACTGTTTCTGTAGATAAGAAGAAAGCAGATATTATGGCTACCGGCCTAAAAAACATTCCTTAGAATCAACATCGCTGTTTTAGCTTATCTGCACCTGAAGAAATTCCTTCTGTTTGTGTGTTTGTTCCCGTTTCCCTTTCTCACAAATACCCTCTCCTTTCACCTCCAATGTGGGTTTCTGCCTGAATCAGTGCTTCCTGAATAGCTATTCTTTTGGATCTCACATGCTTGTTTGCTTCTCACATTTGCCTATTATTTTTTTTTTTTTCCAAATTATAAGAGGAAGTTTATTTAGAAAGTCACAGAGGTAGTAGAAGTGAGCTGGGCTTTGCGGACTCAGGAAACAAGTTACAGAGGCAAGAAGCTTAGGAGAGAAAAGGGTAAAGTTACCACGCCTTGGAGGAAGTAGAGGGGGAAGGGAAAGACAGCATGCTCCGAGAGGGACAGCCACTGACCTATTGTTTTGTTTTATTTTATTTATTTATATATTTTTTAGGAATTGCTTCTGCATGTGGCAGCTCCTTCTTTGCTATTTTTTTTTTATTTTTTTAATCCTCACTTGAGGATATTTTTCCATTGATTTTTAGAGAGTGTGGAAGGGAGAGGGAGAGACACAGAGAGAGAAACATTGATGTGAGAGAGACACATGGATTGGTTGCCTCCTGTATGCACCCTGACCAGGGCTGGGAGCCTGCAACTGAGGTATGTGGCCTTGACCAATAGTGAACCCTTGACCCTTCAGTCTGCAGATTGATGCTCTATCAAACTGAGTCAAACCTGCTAGGCCATATTATTAAATATATGATTTCAGAGAAGAAGGGAGAGAGAAAGAGAGATAGAAACAACAATGATGAGAGAGGATCACTGATCTGCTACCTCCCATATGCCCCCCACTGAGAATTGAGCCCTGGGCAAGTATCCTGACAGGGAACGGAACCCCGACCTCTTGATTCACAGGACAATGCTCAACCACAGAGCCAAACCGGTTGGGCTGGCTTATTATTTTTAAGTTAATGAGGCCTGAATACAAATAATAGACATTTTATAGTTTTGACCATTAAGTATCTGCTATACACCAGTGTTCATAGTGCAGCAGATGCACACAAACACAGAACACCTGAATCTGTACCATTTAAAGGTCAAAACCTGAGGATAGCAGTAAGAGATGTAAATAAACCAAATTTAGTTAAGGGTAGGACAGGATCCAAGGTAGGGTTTAATGCAACCTAGAGGCTGGGTCCTCTTGTTGAGTAGACCAAGATAAAGATGTGGCTTGAGAAGACCTGCTGGATCTTGTAGGGTAGACTCCTTAGGGGCATAGGTGAAACAGATTGAAGAGATTGGGCTTCAAGTGAAACTTGGCATTCGGGCCTTGAGTTGGCCGGGAGAGGGAGCATAACTTTGGTTGCTGAACTTGAATTCAGAATAAAGTATGTTGTGAAGTTCTGAAGGTTATACCATCTGACCAAGGAGGGGGTCTGGTAAACTGTCCTTGCCTGTCACATAACAGTACATTTCTTGGATGATGGGAATGTTTATATATAATATAATGCAGATTTTTTCCCCATAGGTGCTGTAGAATTACTATAGAAAATTGAGACTTGTCCCTGAATTTTTCTTTTGTAGATATATTGTAGAGCATCTACTTTTGGTTTCTGTACACCAACTTTAGAGAGTCCATTAAAACGAATTAAGTTTTCACTTTTTAGAAAAATGTATTTTTATTGATTTTAGAGAGGAAGGGAGAGGGAGAGATAGAAACATCAATGATGAGAGAGAATCATGGATCGCCACAATCCTTAGCATGTACCTTCGAGCTGAATTGAACCCAGGACTCTTCAGTCCACAGGCCAATGCTCTATCCATTGAGCCAAACCAGCTAGGGCTGTACTTTCTTATATATAAACATGTTCTAATCTTGTCTTTTGTGTAACTTGGATTGGATTTGGAGTATTTTCTTGTTTGTTTGTTTTTAAAAAAAGCTTTTCAGCAATCAAATGGATAGATATTTCCTTGGGCTGAATTTTACCAGTGACTGATCTTATCCATCATTTAATATAATGCTTTTGATGTCTCAATTGTTCATAGTCTCATTACTAAGATCATTAAGATTTACTTTATTTTTTAAATTTTATTTATTGATTTTTAGACACAGAGGAAGGGGGAAGAGAGAGAAACACCAGTTTGTTGTTTTATGCATTCATTGGTTGCTTCTTGTATGTGCCCTGACTGGGGAACCCACAACCCTGGTGTATCAGGACAATGTTTTAACCAACTGAACTACAGGGTTAGGCCCACTAAGATTTACTTTAAATCAGCCTGTTATCTTTGCTAAAATTACTGAATGAATAGGGATTGTAATAATAATAAAAAACCAATTGTATAAAAAATGATAGGATAAAACATTCATTTGGCACTGTTTCTGTTCATTAAAAAAAAAATATATATATATATGCAAATATATAAAATAATATATATATACTAGAGACCCAGAGCATGAAATTCATGCACCAGGTGTGTGTGTGTGTGTGTGTAGGTCACCTCAGCCGAGCCTGCACCCTCTCCAATCTGGGACCCCTTGGGGGATATTTGGGATGAAGCCTAAAGAGGCTACCGGACATCCCTCTCACAATCTTGGACCGCTGGCTCCTAATCGCTTACCTGCCTGCCTGCCTGATTGCTTCTAACTGCACCCCCCCCCCCCCCCCGCCCCCCTGCTTGCCAGGTTGCTCCCAACTACCTTCCTTCCCTCCCTGCCAGCCTGATCACCTCAACTTCCCCTGCCTCCCCACTGGCCTAGTCGCCCCTCTCTGCCTTCCCTCCCCACCGCCAGCCTAATTGCCCCCAACTTCCCCTCCTGCCGGCCTGGTCACCCCCAACTGCATCCCCCAGATGGCCTGGTCACCTCTAACTGCCCCCTGGCAGTCCTGGTCACTTCTATTGCCTCCCCCTGCTTGCCTGGTCACCCCCAACTGCCCCCCCCCACTGGCCTAGTCACCCCTCACTGTCCCCCCTGCCAGCCTAATCACCCCCAATTGCCCCCCCCCCCCTGCTGGCCCAGTCACCCCTCACAGGCCCCCCACCAGCCTGGTTGCCCCATGCAGCCTGCTGTTCAGTTGTTTAGTTGTCCCTCACTAACCCTCCTGCCGGCCTGGTCACCCCATGCAGCCTGCTTGTTCAATCATTTGCTTGTCCTTCACTAACTCTCCTGCATGCCTGGTCATAGGCAGCCATTTTGTGAGGGCATGAGAGTTAATTTGCATATTATATCTTTATTATATAGGACTAGAGGCCCAGTGCATGACATTTGTGTGTGTGTGTGTGTGGGGGGGGGATGGTCCCTTAGCTGGCCTGTGCCCTTTAGCAGTCCAGGAGCTCTCAGGGGATGTCTGACTGATGGCTTAGGCCAGCTCCCCCTGGACATCCTTAGCACTGCTGCAGAGGCAGGAGAGGCTCCCATCACCTCCACTGTGCTCAGCTTATGGCTGAGCAGTGCTCCTGGGTTGAGCATCTGCCCCCTGATGGTCAGTACCCATCATAGTGACCAGTCTTTCTGCTGTCTGATTGACTTGCATATTACCCTTTTATTATATAGGATTAGATTTTAGGCGAGTGGAAACAGATGGAAGAATCCAATAGCTAAGCAAGGGCCATTGATTTATGATTTTATGTGAGGATGGTTAAAATTGTAAAATGGGGAGAGGAAATAGCTGAATTTATATATATATATATATATATATATATATATATATATATATAAAATATATATATTTATATATATTTAAATATATATTTATAAATATATATATAAATATATATAAATATATTTATTTATATATAAATATATATAATATATTTATATTATATATATATATAACCTTTATTGATTTCAGAGAGAAAAGGAGAGGGAGATAGAAACATCAATGATGAGAGACAATCATTGGTTAGCTGCCTCCTGCACACCCCCTACAAGGGATCAAACCTGCAAACTCAGGCATGTACCCTTAACTGGAATTGAACCCAGGATCTTTCAGTACATAGGCCAACACTCTATCCACTGAGCCAAATCAGCTACAACAATAGCTATATTCTTACAAGAATGTTATATTATATAGTTTGTTACATGAGTCTTTCTCCAGTTATCTGTATTGCTTGGATCCAGTATTGTGTAAATCCAGGGATTATCTGGTTTCCCATCTCATACTCCTCTTCGTGTTGAGGATCCAGGAATTCTTTCCCCTAAAAGTTTTATCTTCTCCCCATCTGGGCCTAGATTTAGACACAGATCCTGTAACCTCCATGTCAGCAATGTTGCTGGGTTGACCTAGTTTGCTTTGTCCAGGAAGTGACTCAGACACAGACTCACTTAATTTTCTTCTGGGATTGCACGATCTACGGTTTACAATTTTCTCTTTTTAATCTTTCACGGTGTGCTGCATACACAGCCTGGCATAGGGTTACAGATTCAAGGGCGAGGGATGGGGGTGTTGGCAGGGAGTCGAGCTTCCCCTCCTGGCTTCTAGCCTTCTTCCCATACCGTTTCCTTCTCGCTGGGAAACCCGGGCTCTGCCGACCGGAATAGGTGCAGGGATGAAATGCTGGAGGTGCAGCCCTGGGAAGGAACTTGGGTTTACCACCCAGCCTCCGGCAATTGAAACTGGGTGTGTCACCATGGAGATGGGGCCGGCCTTCGTGCGTGGCTGCCATTGGCTGGGCGCTCCCGGGCTGGGGATATAAGCCCGCGCCCAGCTCACAGTGCTGAACCGGTGGCGGCAGCCCAGCTCAGCGGAGCAGAACCCTGCGGAGAAGGGCAGGCTCCCCGAGAGAGCCGAGAGCGCGTCCACGGCACCATGGAGGAGAGCCGGTGAGGCGGGCACCAGGCCCGAGGAACCCCGAAGGCCCCTGGGGAGGGGAAATAGCTGTCACCGAGCCCTGGAAACTTGGCACTCCGAACCCAGAGGTGGCCGGGAGAATGCCCTGAAGATGCAGAGGCCTGGCATGGAGCCGGGTGCCAAGGACAAATTGGCAGGGCAGTGTGGGGCGGCTCGGGCCGGCGGAGGCGCACGTGGGAACAGAGCTGAGGAGGCGCCGCTAGACCAGGGAGGGACCGGTTAGCACCGAGGAGTCTGTGCCAAAAGGAAGCCCGCGTCTGTGCAGGCGCGCGCGCGCCCACACGCACGCACTTTTGGGGTGTAAGTGTAGAGGGAGGCATGCCCCCATCCCCATGTGCTCTTCACAGACTCCCTTTCTAGTGTCTAGGTAAAGCTGCAAGGTAGTTTTTGTGCCCGTATCCTGAGTTCCTCCTTCAGAGGAGATACCGCTCACGCCCCTCGCCTACCCAGCCTTTCCCTCCAAATTGGAGATTCAATTAAGTTGGGGGACGGAGTCTCCAAGGAGAAAAGGAAATCTTTATTTGTTGAATTGAGCAACAGACCCTGCCCACTTACCCCCACCTCACCCCTTTGAAAACCCTTCTCTTTGCTTTGTTTCCAGCTTTGTTTCCTGGGCTTTTGGATGCCCAGGGCTACGGGGTGTTCTTGGGGAACGGACGGCCAATGAGGAAGTCCTGTAATCTGCAGCTAGTTATGCCGGGTGTCTAGGTCCTACTTCTTTCGTTTCCTTTGCCCCTTCTGGGGACGCTATCTGATGAACTTTTTGCCATCTTATTGCTTCTCGTCTCCATCATCTCGTGGCCTCAGCTCCATTGCCCTCGTCCCTGTCCCTGAACCTAGCTCCTTCCTGGTGTATTGTAGAGCCATGTTGTTTCAAAGGTTCTTCTTTTGAAGGATAGGATTTCCTCTAGAGAAGCTTCCTTGGTTGTAATCAGCTCTGTTGCATCTCAGTTTGACTTTTTTTTTTTCCTTCTTCTTCCTCAATCTTTGATCTTTTCAGATGGGTGTGAGAATTGGACTGGACCTGTGAGAAAAATTCAAGGTTGATTGGGGGTGGGGGAGGGTCAAGTGTTCTGGGTATGTGTGTGTCCTTAGGTCTCTGAAGGGGCAAAGGACCTTGGTACAGAGAAGGGGAAATGGGAGAAGACTGGGAGGAGAGCACAGCAGGGGGGAAAGTGGGAGAAAGGCTGTGGAGCAGGAGCATGATTTATGGAGTCTAGGTATTTGGAGCTCATTAGCAAAATTAATTAATTTTCAAACTGAGCTGTAAGATGGGAGGGTCTCCTTGCCCTCCTTGATTTGATTATTTCAACTATATGTCTGTGGACCCTGATCCCTTTATGTCTTGTAAATCTTTGTCACAAGGAGAGATAGTAAATTTGAAAGTGATACAAAACTTAAGTTGGGGCTGGTGGTGGAAACATTACCGTTTGTCAGGCTTTCCAATGAATTTCCTATCATGCTTTCAGTGGGTGTGATTCAGAAAGGGGAGTGGGCAGGTGGGTGAGCTTAACGTTGCCTTTCCCGAGAGAGGCAGCTCTTCGGCTAGCTTCTCTGTCTGTCCCCTGCCACCTCAGGATACCTGCCAGCCTTTCTGTAGTAAAGGTCCTTAGTCTCTCATGCCCTTGGTATGGGAGCAAAACTCACCTTGATTTTTTCTTCTTTCCTAGATTCACATATGAAGATTGTCAACATACTGCAGAATGGCTTCTGTCCCGCACCAAACACCGACCTCAAGTGGCAGTGATCTGTGGTTCTGGCTTAGGAGGCCTGACTGATAAACTAACTCAGACCCAGTGCTTTGACTACAGTGAGATACCAAACTTTCCCAAAAGTACAGGTACTGGCAAGGAGAGAGGGGTGGGACTGAGGGATATTGATAGGATTTTTTTTTTAATCTTTATTGTTGAAAGTATTACATATGTCACCTTTTTTTCTCCCACTGACCCTTATACCCTGCCCCTGCACCCCCACCCAATGCCTCTACCACTCTTTTGTCTGTGTCCATGTGTTATGTATGCAAGTTCTTTGGTTGATCTCTTCTCCCCCCCTGCCCCCCCCCCCCCCGTCCCCACCCTTTCCCCTGAGATTCTACATTAATGGGATTCTGATGGGAGGGCTGTGCTTCTATGCCCAGGCCTTTATAAACAGGGGCGGGCCGTATAAAGCCCATGAAATCATTTGGTCTGGCCCTGCCAAGGCATTAGGGTGTTACTCAAATGTTTGGCCAACTCTGGCAGGCTAATTTTCAAGTCAATAATTTTGTATGGCCTCAAATGATGTTCTAAATATGCCAATGGCCCGGGGCAGAAAAAGGTCCCCACTCCTGCTCTATAGCATGGGATTAAAGACAACTTGTAAGAGTAGAAAACAAACCACTATGAACAGAGTGACTTTAGAATGAAATTCCCCTAGAAGGACTGTCATGATAGGGCATGTATGTGTCAGTGGTACTAGACGATGACACGTTTCCTCTGCTTTAATGACTCAGCCCTCCCTGAAGCTCTACGGCACCTCCCCTGTACACCCTGTAGTCACCACAGACATATCACACACCTACATCATCCCTGCAGCTTAAATGGAAAAAGCCTTGCTTGTAACCTCCCAGGACAAAGTCAGGCCTCCTCTGTCCTGTGTTCTCCTGCCATTTCTAATTTCCCCAGCTCTAGGATAAGGCACAGGCTAGAGCATAACAACAGATGGACACACAGGCTACCATGTTCTTGAAAACAAATATATAAATAGTCCATGAATACACAGAACCTAACACACTGGCCCTTTTGAGGGACGGAGGATAACATACCCAGCATCCTAACAGCAGCTGGAAAGCTCTACAGCGAAGGCTTACAAAAGGGCCACATGAAATAGAGGCAAGTTTCAAGCACAGTACAAGGGTAGTTTACTTGGTTTACTTATTAATTTTTCAGGTAATTAACTTTTATTGGTTAATATAATACTTCTTTGGGTTTCTGCCTTCCTCTTTTCCCTGGAGAGTTAGGATTTTTAACAGATTAAAAGAATGTTTTTATTGATTTTAGAGAGAGGAGAAGGGAGAGGGATAGAAAGATAGAAACATCCGTGGGAGAGAAACATCAATCAGGAATCAAACCAGTGACCTCTTGGTTCTGGGTCAATGCTCCAGTGACTGGCCACCTTGGCCAAGATGACTAACCAGGTTTTCCAGTTCTTTTTCAAACCCTTTGGAGCCAGACTGGGAAACCAGAGCAGGAAGGTGGGGGTGGGGGTTGGAGAAGGAAATACTAAAAAGAGAGATGGAGAGCAAAATTTTGTAAGGGAGACAGCAGTGACATTGGCTCCACCTGCCACCTCTATCTGCAGGGAGAAGGGCACTCTGCTAAGTAATAAGGGGATTCATTTTTTAAGCTTTATCAATTTATTACGTATATTCCACTTGAGTTTTCCTAACCTCACCTATGTTCTATTACTCGTAATTAAAAATAAATAAATAAACTTCTCTATTTCTATTGATTTTGTATAGAGAGGAAGGGAGAGAGATAGAGAGTTAGAAACATCGATGAGAGAGAGTCATCAATCAGCTGCCTCTTGCACACCCCCTACTGGGGATATGCCCACAACCAAGGTACATGCCCTTGACCAGAATCAAACCCGGGACCTTTCAGTCCCCAAGCCAACGCTGTATCCATTGAGCCAAACCGGTCTTGGCAAACTTCTCTATTTCTAAAGGTCTCTTAACACTCCCCCTTGATTTTGGTTCTTCTCCCAGATCATCCATTTTAAAAATATATATCCCATTGACTTCAGAGGGGAAGGGAAAGAGAGAGAGAGAAACATCAATGATGAGAGAGAATCATCGATTGGCTGCCTCCTGCACACCCCCTACCGGGCATTGAGCCTGAAACCCAGGCATGTGCCCTTGGCCAGAAATGAACCTGGGACCGTTCAGTCCACAGGCCGACGCTCTATCCATTGAGTCAAACCAGCCAGACAGACCATCCATTTTTTAAAAGATAACTTGGCCTTTTCATTAGAGGAGAAATGTCAGATAAGAAAATGGTAATGATGGTTATTACATCTGTGTGGGAGTTATTTTTGCATTCCCACGCCCGATCATGGGCATGTGTTCCCACAGGACAGTTTGGGAGTCCTCATGGAAAAGACTGTGTGTGGGTCCAAACTCAGCTCCTTGCCTTTATTTAGTAGTCTCTTTAGGAAGAAGAATATACTGTGAGCGTCCTTTCAGAAGTGAAGATGTATATAGTTTAGTTCAGGTAATACATAGGAATACATACTTTGAGAATTTTGGGAAAGTGGTCTATAATTATTGCATTCATTATTACCCACTAATTCTATTTTTTTTTCTTCTCACTTATTCTTTTACCATACGGCTTTCTCATTCTTTGGAAATTTCTTTAAAAAAATGTTTTTCCCCGCTGAAACCAGTTTGGTTCAGTGGATAGAGCTTCAGCCTGCTGCGGACTGAAGGGTCCCAGGTTCCATTCCGTTCAAGGGCATGTACCTTGGTTGTGGGCACATCCCCAATAAGGGATGTGCAGGAGGTGGCTGATTGATGTTTCTCTTTTATCAATGTTTCTAGCTCTCTATTCTTCTCCTTTCCTCTCTATAAAAAATCAATAAAATATATTTTGAAAAATGTTCCCCTTCCTTTGATAAATGTTCACATTGAACATTCTTACCCCCATAGTCCTAATCTTTGAATGTACTTAAATATTTATTTGTAAGTTTATTATTCATTTCTACTACCACTGACTTAAATTTATGAAAGTTAATGTAATAACATCTTCTTTTGCTTAATTATATCCTCAATTGAGTACAGTGAGTTGACTCATAGCAGTTACTCAGTGTTGTATGAAAACATCACTCCATTCATTTCCCTTTCTTTCTTTGTATTCAGTGCCAGGTCATGCTGGTCGACTGGTGTTTGGGGTCCTGAATGGCAGAAACTGTGTGATGATGAAGGGCAGGTTCCATATGTATGAAGGCTATCCATTCTGGAAGGTAAATTTGGGACATAAGTCTGGGTTGGATCTGAAAGAAAGGGAGAGAGCTCTCTATCCCACTTTATTGCCTAAATTGGTAGATTTTTGGTTCCCTCCTTTTATGATGTATGGCATGCTTATCTGAAAAATGGATTGGTGAACTTTTAAAGAACACTTTCTGATCTCTTTTTATTTTGCTTCCAAGGTGACATTCCCAGTGAGGGTTTTCCATCTTCTGGGTGTGGACACCCTAGTGGTCACCAATGCAGCTGGAGGGCTCAATCCCAAGTTTGAGGTTGGAGATATCATGCTGATCCGTGATCACATCAACTTACCGGGTTTCTGCGGTGGGAACCCTCTCGTAGGACCCAATGAAGAAAAGTACTTACTTTACTCCTTGGTGTATAGATGGGAGGTGGTGGTGTAAGGACTTGTCTGGAATTGAGGAGAGAGCTCATTGTCTTCCATTAATCTGAGATAATCCAACCTGTGCCGTAGGTTTGGAGTTCGCTTTCCTGCCATGTCTGATGCCTATGACCGGGAGATGAGGCAGAAGGCTCACAGTACCTGGAAACAAATGGGAGAGCAGAGAGAGCTACAGGAAGGCACCTACGTTATGGTGGCAGGCCCCAGCTTTGAGACTGTGGCAGAATCTCGTTTGCTGCAGAAGTTGGGTGCTGATGCTGTTGGTGAGAAGGGATACTTGGCTAGAGGCTTGAAGAGGGAGGGACCTGGCAAACTAGAGAAGGGAAGGAGTAAAAGGTTATAGACCTGATAGTGGATTGGGAGAAGATTTGACTTGAGAAAGATTGAGTTTCTAGAAAGTGATTTCTAGAAAGGTATTAAGGTGGTGAAGTTTGATGTGTTACAGCATCAAACCTCCCCACTCAGCATCAGGGGCTTAAACAGCTATACTGCTAATGACATATACTCGGTTTGGTAACTGTTTGTAAAGATTATTCTAACAAATGTCATCCATCGTCACCTTCTGTACCTCTGGCGGGAAGATGGAGCTGCATCATTTGAACTGACTTGGAAATTACCACAGACAGTTATAGATTAGGTTACACGGTGAGGAAAAGAGTCATTTAAGAACCCTGACACGTGGCTTTCCTTTCTCTCCATCAGGCATGAGCACAGTACCAGAAGTTGTAGTTGCAAGGCACTGTGGACTTCGGGTCTTTGGCTTCTCCCTCATCACTAACAAGGTCATCATGGATTATGAAAGCCTGGAGAAAGCCAACCACGAGGAAGTACTAAATTCCGGGAAACAAGCTGCGCAGAAATTGGAACAGTTTGTCTCCATTCTTATGAATAGCATTCCACTGCCTGACCATGAGACTTAACCAACCCCGGAGTGGCCTGGCTCTCAACATTATGGGACCCAAGTAGCTGCTACCTACTTTGGACCCTTGCTGTGGTGACATGCCTCTGGTGTTAGATAGTGGCAGAAAGGAGAGGAAGATCCCTATCCTTCACTTTCCCCACTTCTCCCACCAGACCCTTCTGGTGCCTAGTGCTCTTTTGCTCAACTGTCTTCTTATAACAGTAACTTCCATTATTTTCACTTTCATTATTTTCAAGAGCTGGAGCCCAAGCCAAACCCTACTACTCATCCACGAACGTTCCCAGGATTTGACTCGGGCTACTGACTTCGGCACAGTAATGGTTGCTGCTAGCTTTCTAAGGTAATGCTTTCACATTCCTGGGGATTCAGGTCTACCTCCCACAAAGCCCTGAAGACCACACAAGGACCAGCTCAGTATCTCTTGGACCTTAATACTACCATATTTTGAGAATAAAGAAAAAAGATGAAATAATTTATTTTTATTTTTTGTGCAATTTGGGATAAGGCTGGGGCACAGGCCAAGACTGGCATAAAAGGCTGCGAGAGCACATGTCTTGTGAGACTTTCAGCTTCTCAGCTTCTCTTTCTTTTCCCCTATTGCTGAGGACTGAGATCATGTATGTAAATTAAGGAAAGGTTAAAGAAAAGGGAAGATGATGAAAATAGAGGAAGTGTTAGAGAATGATAAGGAAGGGCTAACTTATGGTCTATCAAGGCCACTTCCCTCAGGCCAGTCTTGATCTATCCCTTGCCTTCTGAATGTTTTCCTGTTTATGCTCATGCATACCTGAATTATTTTACTGGTTTCTACTTCTGTTCCAGTTGCCAGTTCCGTGTTAAGCCCTAATTATATTTCCTCTTGATTTCCTTCTCTCCACTACTCTGACTTCTTTCATAAATAATAGCAACTGTACTCTTCTTCACTCCATTCTGACAATGCAGTGGCAAATGCCCCTTTATCTGCTGCCAGCCACTTCACAGCTGATTAGTTTTGTCAACCCCGGGTAAGTTGAGTTGGCTCTTACTCAACTTCTATTTGAGCACTTTCTTTTCCCCTATTGCTCACGTTCTGGGCTCCAGTCTTTCTCTTCATTTTTGCTTAGTCAGAACCTCTCTGTGATGCAGCAGCCAGACATGGCCCCCTTTTTTTGGCTTATTGCAGTTTGTGCTTATCAACTTGCAGTCAGCTGGCTGGCATGTTTGACAACCACGCTATCCTCCCAGCCTGATTGCCTTTTGAGAAAGGAGAGGGCTGGATGAGCCTCTAATGGTGACATTGCAGTTAGTAGAATAATATGGAAGAAGCATTTTGGATGGAAAGCTTTTGAAATCTCTCTCAAATTGTGTTAAATTAAGAATATAAAAATGGTCTTTTTTTAAGTGCCTATTCTTTTTTATTTTTCAATTACAGTTGACATCCAAAATTATTTTGTATTAGTTTCTGGTATATAGTATACTAGACAGACAGCAATAGAATTTATGAAATGGTCCCCCTGATAATTTAAGTACTTGGTACCATAGGTAGTTATTTATTACAATATTGACTATATTCCCTGTGCTGTACTTTATATTCTCATGATTATTTTATAACTACTAATTTGTACTTCTTTTTTAAAAAAATAAATTTTTATTGATTTCAGAGAGGAAGGGACAGGGAGAGAGAAATAGAAACATCAATGATGAGAGAGAATCATTGATCGGCTGTCTCCTGCATGCCCCCTACCGGGGATTGAGCCCACAACCTGGGCATGTGCCCTTGATCGGAATTGAACCTGGGACCCTTCAGTCTGCAGGCTAATGCTCTATTCACTGAGCAAGACCAGCTGGGGCCAACTTGTACTTCTTAATCCTTTCACCTTGTCCACCCAGTCCATCAACTCCCTCCTCTCTGGCAACCATCAAGTCTGTTCTTTGTATCTATGAGTCTGTTTCTGTTTCATTTGTTCATTTATTTTGTTATTTAGATTCCACACAGAAGTGGAATTTGTCTTCCTCTGACTTATTTCACTCAGCCTGATACCCTCTAGGTCCATCCCATGAGATTCATGCACTCGGGGTCCCTCAGCTGACCTGTACCCTCTAGCAGTCCAGGAGCCCTCAGGGGATGTCCCACCGATAGCCCTGCTGCGGAGGTGGGAGAGGTTTCCCGCCATGCCCACTGCACTCGCCAGCTGTGAGCCTGGTTGCTGTTCAGTTGACTTGCATATTACCCATTTATCATACAGGATAATATTCCATTGTATGGATACACCACTTTCAAAAAAAATCAAATGTCTTCAATTTCGAAGTGCCAAATTCAGCCCAAATAGAATGTATCAGTTTAGTAACCCAAGAGAATAAAGGCACAAAATCAGGGGAGGTAGATCTTGGAGGGACACCTAAAGGATTGTTCTTGGGGGGGAAAAAACTGATGATGAGACTATTCTCCAGAGGAGCCTGCAGAACGTCTGCAAAATGGACTGTTTTTCCTGAATCTCATGATAGGTATCAAAGCATGTACTCTCCATCAAGTTAGGCTTTCTTCCCTACCCTATCATGCTCATCTTTATCAACATCAATAATGCTTGTTAATCAGGTACTTTGAATAGAACATTGTCCGAAAAAACCTAATATAAATTGATAAAACAAAGTGCTTGCAATCTAGATGGGAGACAGGATATAGCCTGAATTAGTTGTGTCCTCTCTGCCTACTTGCAGTCTTTTCCTGTGTTATCTTGCCATTGTTTAGAATTGGCTTCCCCTTATGAACTTTTTTTTTTTTAAATCCTCTCCTGAGGATATTTTCCCATTGGTTTTTAGAGAGAATGAGAGAGATAGGGAAAGACAGAAATATTGATGTGAGGGAAACACATGGGTTGGTTGCCTCCTGCAGAAGCCCCAACCAGCGCCTGAGCCAGGGAGGAGCCTGCAACTGAGGTCCTGCAACCAAGGTACATGCCCTTCACTGGAATCAAACCAGGAACACTTTGGTCCACAGGCCAATGCTCTAACTGAGCCAAATAGAGCAATGATGTATGAAGAGTGGCATATCCTGGCTTGTGCTATAGGAATTCAGAGGAGAGAACCAACACTTGGGATGGGGAGTGGGGAAAAGATTGCTGACACTTGAATTAGGTCTTACAGGAAAGAGAGGTAATGCGGATTGGCAGAAGGTACTACGTGCAGGTGAATTAAGGAATGCTTAATCATTTAATAGATTGAAATAGTTAGATTGGAGGGAGCAGTGTGTTAACATAAGAAACATTCAAACCTGTGAAGAATTTTTGTGAGTTTGAGCCTAATTGTTGACAAATGTCAGGAAGCAGAACTCAATGGATAGAGATAAAGCTCTCCTAGAGAATGGCAGTTTTGTATCTTATACTATATTTTACAATCAAAAGGGGAGACGTAAGTGGGTTACATAAAATCTATTGATAGATTAGGGAGGTGGGAGAAAGCAAAGCAGGCAAACCTCTGGTTTGGATAAAAAAATAAAATGATACTTTTCTTACATGGTTGCAAGATAGTTACCAATCAACAACTAACTGAGTAACAATGAGGGCATTTGTGGTCTTCCGCAGAGCAATGCCTGTGCCTGGAGGGGACCAGAAAAAGGAAAATTACTTTGACATTCCAATGATATGTTATCTTAGATGCAAAAAGTTGATAGGCGGGCTCAGTTCAGTTAAAGATTGACCTTTGTCAGGGAAGATACTGGCCTTAAACATGATTAGCCACCATCACTGCTTTTTAGTTTAAAAAGTTTCAATTTTGGACCTTCCTTTTGGTTACTTTAGGTCTCTAAGTTTGCAAGTCTGCCAGGTAGGCCTTCCCTGAGTTAGGTAGCATGTGGCCCCTTTTTGTCCACACATAACCCTTTTGGTCACAAATCAATCCAAAGGATGATGTATTGATAACCAACCCTTTGGTTAGATTATGGGGTCCTATGGTGCTAGGAAGGCTCATTATTAGGAAGTCTCAATGTCAGCATTTGTCTTGCTGAATAGGGTGGGCCACTGGGGATGGGCAAGATTATAACCTTAGATGGTATTCAAAGTCGAATTATTATTATCCTATCTAATAAAAGTAATATGCAAATTGACTGTCACATCAAGTCATAAGATGGCCACCCCCATGTGGACACACAGGGCCACCACAAGATGGCCGCCACAAGATTGCCTGTAGGGGAAGCAATTGTGTGAAGTTAGGGGTAACCAGGCCAGCAGAGGAGGGCAGTTGGGGGAGACCCAGACCTGCAGGAGAGGGAAGTTAGGGGGGGACCAGGAAAGCTCAGAAAGAAAAGGATAAAATGGGGAGCTAAAAAAAAAAAATTATCTGTGTTTTTCCTTAGAAGCTTCTAATTTCCAAAATCAAGATACTCTTTCCATCATTCATTCAGTTTCATTTTAGAGCTGGCATTCTTTTTTAAAATTTATTATTTTTCATGTACCCCAAAACAACTGAATTTTAAAGTTATTTTCTGGTTAAACCTTCCCATTTCTGTAAAGCACTCACCAGTAAAGACTTCCTATCAGGGGTATTAATGAGGGCTGAGGCCTGGGAGTTTCCAACCTTGGAGGCACAATTTCTCATGTTAATTTTAGTTTTTGTTTGTTCGTCTTTGTTTTTATATCCGCAGTCTGAGCAACTTTTCGAGGGTTGTTATGTAGTGGGTCAAAATGTGCTGTTTATGGGTTGAACTCTACGAAGCTCTCATCCCTCAAGTCCCATTTTACCCTTGTATGAGCCTCAGTTTCTCTCCCAGCTGTCTGAAACAATCGGAAGGGCCTGGGGCACTGATTGACTAAAACTATGGCTGCTCTACTGGAAGAGCCAATCAGTTTAATTACAGTTGAGTTGAATTTCCATATGGGGCTCCTGCATGTTGTGAGGAATGACCTCTGACACCTCCACAAGGATTCTTTGTTGCCGAGGAACATCTGAGATTTGGGCTGGAGGGGGTATGTGCCCCTTTATCACTGGAGTTGAACGAATTTAGCTCATTTATACAGTGAAGAATTTTTTTGCTTAGACTCTCAGAAAGCAATCCCAACTGAAAAGCCAGAGTTAAAAACCAGCCACCCATTTTCCCCCCCTCCTATCTTACCTTAGCCTGGGTTCTGTTAACCCTTAGCTCCACCTCAAGTATTTAAAAATACAGCTCAAACTGAGACCGGTTTGGCTCAGTGGATAGAGCGTCTACCTGTGGAATGAAAGGTCCCAGGTTCGATTCCTGTCAAGGGCATGTACCTTGGTTGCGGACACATCCCCAGTGGGAGTTGTGCAAGAGGCAGCTGATCGGTGACTCTCTCTCATCGATGTTTCTAACTCTCTATCCCTCTCTCTTCCTCTCTGTAAAAAATCGGTAAAATATATTTAAAAAATAAATAAACAAAAATAAAAATACAGCTCAAATAAAGTCAGACCCTTTAACAAAAGTAAAAGTAAAGGAAGTTCCTGGATCCAAGAGACAACTCACCCAAGTTCACCAAA